TTTCAAACAAAAAATATCTACGTTCATACAGGATCATCTCTTTTGCTCTTTTGCTCATTCAACATAATGTGGATTCTAATTATGAGCTCGATCACACAAGACCGCAGGCCACATATTATCAAACATCAACCCTACCATAATCATTTACCATCAATCCCACCATTACCGCATTTGATCACATCCCTTCCTCTCCCCATTCACCATTATGATCCATGGGACCCTTGAAGGTATAATAATATGAGGGGAAGAAAGGCCTCAGACAAGATGACAACGGAGGATCCTATTATCCCTTATCAGTTTTTGCAATTAATGAAAGGGCTTCGCAGCAATCTTGAAACCGAAAATAGCACGGAATCCCCTTTGGTTTCCATCCAAAATGTAAAGATCACAACTTTATGAGCAATGTTCAATACGAGAGATAATCGACAAATGCCTTGAAAAACTTATAATATATCTCTTAGGACCAGAGGCGACTGCATGCAGTACAACAGTTTGGCTAGAGACTCCAAATTCAATGGCAGCAAGCAGCAGTTAAATAAGACAGTCAGAGAAGATGTAGACAAAACAATCAACAAGGATCTTCAAGGAACACATTGAGCAAGCTCACAAAAAAAAAAAAAAAAATACTTACAGACCAATCAAAATAAATCATATGGAGCATTAGGAGATTGGGTCTACCTTAAACCGGAGTCTTACAAATAGTATACTGTGGCACTAAGAACATATATGAAATTACCCACAAGGTTCGATAGACCAATCCAAATTCGTTCAAGGAAGATGATGCTTCTACATGGGAACACCTCACCCTTTTCCATACTCGAGGATAAGTTGTCAGTTTTGAATGGAATGTTACAACCGATTAAAATAAGTCGAAATAGAAATGAATAATATCCTCCTAATTTACCACCCCTAATGATGTGGCATTGTGATTAGACCCCACACGATGAAATGTTTGATAAATCAAAATTTGACATTTCTCATACACATCATTAGGAGTGGTTTTTAGGAATGATAAATTAGGTGTCTCAAGTGTTTTTCTTCAGCTCAAATTGATTTGATAGAGTGTTGTTGGTTGTAAACTGGTTGCATTAGCTGTATAAGTAAGTAAAATTGGTTGCCCTTGTACAAATGTGATAGGCTATTTCAATTACATTGTTAATGTACACCTAAACCTACTCCACTAAACCTAACCCACTACACCACTCCACCTCCACTACACACTCCACTTCACCTACTTCACCACTCCACCTCCACTTCACATCTCCATCTCCACTTCACATCTCCATCTCCTATATAATGTACATACAATACATCAAAACAGATATACAATCAATAATACATACAATTAATTCTCTTTCTATCAATTTATCTTACATGGTATCAGAGCTAGGTTAACAACTTAGTAATTCCGCTTCACCGGCGGGCGGCAGCCTCGCCTTGGCCGCCCGCCGGACCTCTACACATACCTTCTTTATACCTTCGTTGGCATCATCCCTTCCGACCCTTTGCATCTTTGGTGAGGAGCACTCATGCTCCAACCATGACCCATCATTCCGGCTTTTCTCCGGCAGCTTCTTTTGGACTTTCCGCCGCCTTCTTACCATCTTCTTCTCTGCCGATGCTTACTCAGCCACTCCAGCCATCATGATCCAGATCAAGTTTTCAAAAGTGGAGTAAATACCTTCCCTTCCTTTCTTACCCGAGCATCATTGTGACCCAACGCACAAACCTCCAATTAAGCAAGCATGTTCAAGAAGCCTGTGGAGTCAAGAACACAGCAACGTTTGTCTTGGTATGCAGCAACGTTTGTCTTGGTATGCTGGCTCCAAGAAAGTTCATGCAATAGAAAAGAAAATAGAAAGTTGAGAGAGAGGACTCATCCGAGGTCATCTCATCTCCATCTCCTAGCCGACTGGCAGAGTTCGTGCGCCATTTTAGCGAGCCAGGTGATGTCGCAGCAGCAAGACACCACCGTGAAGAGCGGCAACGCCGACAACATCACCGCCGTTAACGGCCACCAAAACCCTAGATCTCGTCCCCATCGAGAATCTCCCTCTCGGCTCTCTCCATAGACACAGGCCCACTCAAAGAAGACCAAACCCAGCTCTCTCTTTGAAGCTGAAAAACCGACACACACAAAAGACCAAAACCCAGCTTCCTTTTTCTCTCCGCTCCGCCGGTTTCAGTCTCACTCCCCTCCAGCCATGGGAGGCCTGATCAAACCATGCATTCATCACCTCTCTCTCGGTCACCATGCATGACCACAGAGCAACACACAACTCTCCCTCTCTCTTCTCGACATGACTCTTGGTCTTGGACTCTCTCTCCTATCATACACAGAAGGAGATGACAGACAGCATTGTTTTTTGGAGCTACACAACACACCATACTTTCACACCCCAATACAGACAGCCCGACATCGACCCACACCACTCACATTTTTTGACCCTCTCTCTCTGGTCCCTTTTCCTCTCCATCAGACCCACTTTCATCATATCCATCATGTGCCTTCATTTATTCCACTCACCAGCGCACATACTTTCCCCATTAATACCTTTTTATTATTTTTATTATTCTTATTATTCTTCCCAAAAAAAAAAAAAAAAAAAAAAACAAAAAATCCACCGCTCAAACTTTATTTTTTTATTATAACTTTATTTTTTATTATCAAGCTTAATTGGTGCTCTTGATTCGCCCTGTTTCCCACTCCCAAATTTATTATTTTTATTCATCATTCTCTATTCATCATCACCGTGCTCATAAAATAAATAAATAAATAAATAAATAATAAAAAATAATTACAAAAAAACAATTACAAATTTGCACAACAACTCATATTTTATTCATCTCCGGGATCAACCTTGATCACCATTTTACACCACAACCAAATTTAAAAAAAACAAAAAAACAAAAAAAAAAAAAAAAAAAAAACCAAGACCCCCATCACAACAACCAAAGATTTGTTTTCTCTTTTCTGCAGACGGCCACTCACCGACCTCACTTCTTCGCCTCTTCCGCCGGCCTTTTCTTCTTGCCTCCGTCCTGGGCGGCCCTTGACGGTGTTGCCTCAGTGCTTCCTAGTCCACCGAGCACGTTCACTCCCTCGTACTCCTCCACTGCAGCATATGGCGGACCTCCAAATCGGAACATCACGGTGGCCTTCCGCTTCAGCTCCTTGTTTTTCGCCTTTAGCACACTTATCTCTGCTCGCGCATCCTTATACATGCGCTGGAGCAGAGCCAGTTGGGCGTTTAACTGCTGTACCTCATTTGTCCTACTCTGCAGTCGGTGCGACAGGTTTGTGACCGCCGTCATGGTCTCCACACATGACTTCAAAGTATACTGATTGGCCTCAATATCAGTTTGCACCGCCATTTTTTGCTCCACCGACCGCATCGGAAAGTTCAACGGAGCAAAACCAAAGGCGCTTGATTGAGGTTCACTGGCCACCGCACCAGTTATCTCTCTTGTTGACTCGTTGAGATCGGGAAAGAGAGTGAGCAGACCATGGGACGAAGAGGCCATATTCTGGGTAGCTGAACGGGAAGACGAGGCCATGTTTTTGGGTTGCTAAGTGTTTCAAAGAAGCAGCGATTACTGATTGGTACTGTCAGACAGGGTTGGTTACAGAGTGTTCCAAGATTTGCAGCTCTTAGAGACAAGCTCTCCGAGAGTTCAGAGGTTTCAGACTGGTTTGCACAGCCTCCGCCTCACCCTTGGTTTAAATAGCCAGGGCCGCTCCGCGCATCGCGCGCCACTTGCCGACAGACGACAAAACGGGCGCGCAAGCCAAGGTAGTCACGCGCCTCGCCATAATGCCCGGCACACCTTTTTATGAATTGGGCATGCCTTTTGATGGCACGCCTTTTGAAAGATTGGGCACAGCTTTTGAGGGCACGACTTTTGAGGGCTCGATATCTATATCCCTGTATATCTTTTGGGTAGCCTATATACACACTCATACAGTGTCTTCTACACCGGTCAGCTTTTATCAATCCCTTTGTTTCAACCTCAAATAGGTTTCTATCTTCACACCTATTTGAGTTTGAGGGGGGGTTATACATATATCATACATATATCATGTATCATGGTGAGCATGGTTACACATCATGGGAACCACCCAAGCCACCCCATGGCGCACTCCCTAAGTCGCCCCCTTGGTGCACCACCACAAGCTTCTACATCGGTCCGGCATGACCTCGTAAACTGTCCTGCTACAACGGTCCAACATGACCCCGTAAACTGTCTTCTACAACGGTCCGATATGACCCTGTAAGCTGTCTTCTACATCGGTCTGACACGACCACACAGTGTCTGCTACAACGGTCCGACATGACCCCGTAAACTGTCTTCTACATCGGTCCGACATGACCCCATAAACTGTCTTCTACATCGGTCTGATACGACCACACAGTGTCTGCTACAACGGTCCGACATGACCCCGTAAACTGTCTGCTACAACGGTCCGACATGACCCCATAAACTGTCTGCTACATCGGTCTGACACGACCATACCGTGTCTCCTATCCTGTTTTATTTTATTTATCAGTTTACTTTCCTGTTTTGTTACTCTCTTCAAACTCAAGTTGGTTAGTTCCTATCCTCCTTGAGTTTGAGGGGAGCTGTTAATGTACACCTAAACCTACTCCACTAAACCTAACCCACTACACCACTCCACCTCCACTTCACCTACTCCACTACACACTCCACTTCACCTACTCCACCACTCCACCTCCACTTCACATCTCCATCTCCTATATAATGTACATACAATACATCAAAACAGATATACAATCAATAATACATACAATTAATTCTCTTTCTATCAATTTATCTTACATACATCTTTATTGACAAAATCAAATGATTTCTGAACAAATTATCAAGCTAATAGAATTTTAGACGTGCAGAAATCTATCTATAAAAAAAAGAGAAGAAAAAAAAAAAAACTAAATAAAACATGAGAATACGATTAGGATTTAAATCTAGGTAACTTCTCCAATTCATTCCCAAACTATATAACTTAAAATAGTGTCACTTAACACATGTTCATCAAGTCTACATGCTTACATAACTCCAACACCAAAATAAATGCATCTCAAAGGGAATAGTTTACTCTTATAATATTACCTACTACACAAGGGAGTTACTGCATGACTACCAACAAAAAGAACCAGTAATACAAGGATAAATAGAGCTCCCGCAGGTCTGACCTCAATATCAAGGAACTTCACATGTCTATTGCAACCATATCTCCAGATGCATTATCTATAGTTGCTTCCTCCACCACTTCTTTAGAGACAGATTCTTCCACATTCTTTATCCCATCCAGCATCCCATCCCTGCTCCATCAACATCCAATTAAAATAAACCAACTAAATGAAGGCTCCTTGCCGGTATAGTCCTGTGCAGTCAACAAAATGTTTTTCCCACCCCCCATTGCGTATATGATGCCAAAGTACAATAATTTCTTTTCAAGGATCATTCAAGTTTCCTCACCATTTCATTATTTCAAAACTGTTAAGACTATTGAAAATCAAGTCCCATTTATCCATTTTTTTTAGCTCATTCATCTCCTTAAAGATCCAGCCACCAAAAAAATAATTGTGGAGATGGGCAACAACTAGAGTCATGGATTTTCTTCTTTTTCGCACAATTCGGTAGAAACTTACGGATACATGTTTTTAGGTTTTAAATAGTTTTTTGTGGGGTTTGTTTAGGTTTTAAACATGATCAAATATATGTTCTAAACTTTACACAAGTTTTAGGTCATTGTAGAGATTACTCCCTTCTGTTGAATATATTTAATTTTCTTAAGTTAATTGATGATGTACCACCTATGGAACCTTCTACTCTATTATGAAAAAAACAATTCATGAAGCACATTTCATATTAATAGTCATTGAGTCATAAACAAAATTCAGAACGCAGCGTGCTAACATACTAATGTACTAGTACATAACATGATATCCAACTTCATTCAGCAAATCTAACCTAAAACTAAAGGACAACACTAAGCTCATCTAACTTTGATCTCAAATCTGGTATAACTTGAGGATTGGACATTCAAAACATATAGATGTAGGATTTTTTTCATCAATCCCACCTGGAATGTGATTTTAGAATCTGAAAAAAAGAGGAATGGGAAAAACTAGCCTTTTTTTTTTTATCAGCAAAATGAAATTTTATTAATGAATAAAGAGTAAACAAACAAAGAGGGAAAGTGCAAAAAGCATCAATGCTAACCTTAATAATCCCAATTAAGTTGGCACCACTAAGGAAGCTCAATCATTTGCGAGCACAAACCCAAAGATTGGCAAGAAGCCAACCAAGAAGAACAAAAAAAACAGAAAATGGCCAACAGCAGAGGCCTTAAACACCAATAGCCAACACAGCAGCAACACACTAAAGGCCAACACACTAGACCAGCCACACCGCCAGAGAACCCCAGCAGCACAACAGAACAGATCCTCGACACAGCAGCAACACACTAAAGGTCAACACACTAGACCAGCCACACCGCAAGAACAGCTCCCATATGGGAAAAACTAGCCTTAAACAGAACATGTAAAGAGACATGATGGTCACAACAGTGTTACAAAGGCACTGTAACAGGCTGTTACATAATTGCAGTGGCCGTTACAAGTGTGATTTTTGTCACACCACTACAGCAGGCTGTAACAGGTAGTTGTATATGTAATGGTGATATGTAGCGTTTCAGCTGATTTTTAAAACCTTGCATTCATGTTTAATTTGAAATCTACTGCCAAGCATGGCTTGAAGCTGCAAGCCAAGCGATGGCCTTTACCTAATTGAGTTCAAACTTTGGTTTTGTGTGCATCACACTACTATATTTATCAAAATTCAACATTTCAGGGATTATAAGAGCATTACGAAGAATCTTTTTCAACCCCAAAGGCATGCAACCATTTCTCCGTGTAATCATTCAAAAATAAATGCTAATCTGGTTGCTCATCTGTTAGAGTGCAGAGGTTAGCAGTGTTGATGATGCTAATCTGGTTTCGACAGCAGGGGGAAGTTTATGCTGCTCATCTGCTAGAGTGCAATGGACAGTGGTATTGAGGATGTTTATCTATTAGAGTGCTCATTTGGTATGGTGTTGTTATTTGGTTGCAGCTTCTGCTGTTGTTATTTGGTTGCAGCTTTTGTTCATCTGTGCACTGCTGGGCAGTCTTGAGTGTGGTTTTGTTGTTGAACAGGCTACTATAATGTTTGTGTCTTTGGAGAAAATTGCAGCCCAAGCCCCAAAATATGCTGTTTTCTTGCTTCTAGACTAATCAAAGAATTAATCAAGGAGGATTGATCATCGTGGACTAATCAAAGAAATTGGATTCTGCTTTTTGGTCTGTTTGGCTGTTGGCTGGGGTTGTTCTTCTGGGGGGGCTTTCTTTGTGCTCCCTGATACGTTGATCTATTATTAATCAGGTGGAACTCTATTTAAGGCCTGATTGCTGTTGGGTGGGTTTCATGGTAAGGGTAAATGGTGTAACGGGGTGGTCCCTGGTGTGTTTGGAGATAATTGGTTGCTTGTTGATTGGAAGTGCTGTTGGGTGGAGTTCATGGTAAGGGTAAATGGTGTAATGGTGTGGTCCCTGGTGTGTACATGCTGAAGTGGTATGCTGTTGCTTTGGTTAGGTCCGTTTTTCTCGTTGGCTTCTCACCAACACTGGGGGTTGCTAGCAAATGATAGGATGGGCTTTTTGGTGCCAACTTAGTTGGCATGATTTTGCTTATTGTGATGCTTTGCACTCCCCTTTTCTTTATTGATGTAATTTGCTCTGTACTTTGTACTTGTTTTTTACATCAATAAAGTTTCTTTTTTTGCTAATCCAAAAAAAAAAATAAAAATAAAAAAAAAATCCAACAATCTAAGCTACCCTACCTTCAAATACATTCTAACTTCCAAAACACCAAACAAGCAAGAGAACTGTAATAGTCATGTAAGATAGCACAAACAAATGCAATTTATCAAGAATTCTTTTCGGGTTGCCAATCAAAAATCAAAAAGAATTCTTTTTGGGCAAATTTAACTAATCAAGTTGCTGTCACAAATTAAAAAGAGAAACGGTGTAAAAAAATCCCTCCAAATATAACTAATAAAGTTGATGTCATAAATTATAAAACAAACAGCATCAATGATCCCTCACACCCATCTATTCTTAACAACCATCATTCAAGTATTATTATAAAATATGAACAAGCATTTTAAGAGTATGAATGTCATTGTTTTACCCTTACTTAAACCATTATGTTTTCAAAATCATGTGTTTTGCATAACCCGATTAGGGAGGAAGGCACACATTGAAATGCAAATGAGTGAGAAAATTAGGGAGAGTAAACTTACAACACAAGGCCATGCCAGCAGCCTAATGATTGATCAACAATGTAAGTATCACGACACACAATGGAAGCTATCAAGTTATCTTTGATGTTTTTAAGGCCATCAATAAGCTTAGAAACTTCAAACTTGGCGCACTGAATTTTGTAGCGATCTCCCCATCGTCCCCGCAAACATCATGGAGGGTGAGAAGACAGAACTTCTTTCCGCCCAAATGAAGCAATGTCGGTTCACATTCATACCGATCTCGGTACCTTCCAATCCTATAACCCTTAATTTCTCCGCCGTAGTACCTCCCAGACTCCATATTGATGACACGGAGATAATTTTTGAATGACAATGCGTAGCCGAGGTGGCACCGAAGTGCCAGCCGAGGTGCCACGTGTCCTGGTCATGACACCAAGATAATCTCGGCTAGGCCGAGGTTATCTACGAAGATACTGGAATCCAGGATAAGCGGATAAAGAACAAGAGTCCTAGAATGAGAAAAAACTTCAGTTTGGGTAAAAATAAGACTCTTAGAGAGTTTATCCTAATCTAACTGGGAGTCCAGGATTAGCATTGAGCCAGAATCCATTGAAGCTAGGCTTCTATTGGGATTAGGTCAATGTTGGCTATAAAAGTAAGGCACCCTCGTGGTTCTAAGGTACGCTTTTTGTATTCTGAATAGTGATTTAAGCATCTTTACTATCTTTGAGAGATAACTGACTTGATCGTCAGAGTGCCCCCAAGTGGACGAACTACCGCCGGAATCTTATCTTTTTGTGACAGGTCGTTCGGGCTTAATCTATTCTGCTGGTGTTCTCCAGCTGAGTACCTGTTTGGCAGTGTGGTCAAAAATTGACACACAAAATTTGGCGCCGTCTGTGGGAAAGAAAGGAGAATAGATGGCCAACGACGGAGAGAAAGAAAAGGTTGGGGATGACATCCCTATTGGGAGTGGTAAGCACATTGACCCTAACGTGGAGGAGGATGACTGCAACGAAGAAACTCGGGATCAGAATCCCAGAGAAAAGGACGTCGGCCAAGAAGGCGACGTACCAAAGAAGGCAGACCGAGGCGGGTATTACAACGAGAGCGACCTCCAGGTATGGAAAGATAGATGCCTGTAGACGGACGGAGAGATGAAGGCAATGGAGAATAAATTGGCGGACTTGCAGTCGGTCGTCAATTTCATGATACAGAACAACGTCATGTAGCCACCGTTTCCGTTACAAGATACGCCGATTCCAGCGGCCAAGAAAGATGCCCAGAATGGGGGGCATAAAACAGTCCATGTAGTCCCTCAGCACGATAGGACCAAGGAACATTCTCACCAGCCTTCAAAGGAAGTCGGGCATAGAGAATCAATGAGAGAAGAGTCCCAGAAGACACATCGAACCAAAGAAAACTGCACCAAAGAACATCGGCATGTTCAAGGGAAGGAGCTCTGTTTCGACCCAACCAATGAAGAGAGGTCCAAAAGGACTCACAATGACACCGGGAGTAGCGCACCAAAGAGGCTAAAACCCGTTGATAGCCGAGCTCCTGGACGGACCAAGGAGGATCTGAGGGATTACCTCCAGAGGAAGTGACAAGATGCCGAGGTAACCTCTCCTGTCAAGCCGAGAACGTCGTTCTCGGTAGAATTGGACAAATTCGAAGCCCCGAAGAGGTTTCACATCCCTAGATTCTAGATATACGACAGTAAGTCTGACTCAAATTTTCACGTCGGCTTGTCCTTGAACTCAATGGCATTATACACTGGGAATGAGCCGTTACTTTGCAAGGTGTTCCCCTTTATCCTTTGGGGAAATCGCATCAGACTAGTTTCACAAGTTGCCGAAAGGAATTGTGAAAAGCTGGGAAGGCCTGGCCGGGATGTTCGTGGCCAGCTTGTGACGAACAAACTACAGCCATTGAGGGTGGACTCCCTGATGGCTTTGAGAATTGGCGAGGATGAAAGCCTTAGGGCCTATGCCAAGAGATATTATGTGGTGTTCAACCGAATACCAGGATGCAACCAAGAGGTGGCGGTCGTGTCTTTTAAGAACGGCCTGACAGATGACTGTCTGCTTCGAAAATCATTGGCAAAGACACTACCAAAAAGTATGGAGGAGTTTATGGCCATGATAGAAAAGTATGCTCGGGCCGAGGAGGACACGCCGGGGACAAAGACGTCAAAACAAAAGAAGAGATACGGCTCACCGAAGCGAGGCCGAGGTAATGGTGGATACAATAAGCAAGAGACAGGACTGAGGGCTGCACAAGCAGTCACAACCGTATTCCGAATTCCGATTTACAAACTCTTGAAAAGAATACGGAATTAGCCCTATTATAGAGCACCAGAGAAACTTCCTGGTGAATTTATGGGAAGAAGTCTGGGGAAACACTGTGCCTACCACAATGAGGATGGGCACCTAACTTAAGGGTACAGAACCCTAAAAGCACATCTGGAAGACCTGGTAAGATAGGGTCATCTAAAGGACCTAGTAGATGAGACCAGGACAAGGGAAGAGCAAGCGAGACTGCCTCAGGCACCGGCAGCACCACCCCCACCAGTACCGCAACCGTAAGTAGGCGGACCTCGAGTGATCAATGTGATTCACTCGAAGGCCAATAAGAACGAGATACGTGGGGAAACTCATAAAGTAAAACACTTGCAGCATGTGTATCAGGTCCGACAGAAGGGACCTAGGGCAAAAGGTAAAACACTTGCAGGGACCAGTGGTGTCCTTTACTGAAGACGACCAAGAGGTGGTGCAGCATCCGCACAACGATGCCTTGGTAATATCCCTCAAGATTGGAGAATGCCATGTGAGAGGGTAATTTATATGCGAATTGGGCCGAGCTGGGTTGTTATGGGCCTCGGTGTAAAGGGTGAGTAAAAAGGCCAAAAAATTACTCCGGTCTTGAAAAGGCTTAAATTTAGTCCGATCTCAAGGCCAGAAGTTAGACCGGTCCGAAGGACTCCTGGTGATTACCTCGGTTGAAGGATGCTTTGAACGTATACCGGTTATGGCGCAACTAAACTAGATCGGTCTATACCTTGGTAAAAAGATAGTTCGATTTTGGGCATACCCTGGTAAGTGGAAGAGGAACAAAGGACAGAGAACCAAACTAATTATAGTTCGGCTAAGTAGGGCCATGCTTACTTCGGTCGTATGGTAGTTCGGCCATGGTAAACCATCTCACTTAGTTTAAGCAGTGAGGAGGGTGTTGAAGGATAAGCATTATCCTTCAGGAGTATAAATCCTAGAAGGACTCTGCATGGAGGAGTAGCAGTCCTACTAGGATTGTGCCACACAAAACCTATAAAAGCTCACAAACATCACCTATGGAGAGGTAACACACAACTTTGATTCTCGAATTCACAGAGCTTCTTGTCTACTTGTCTGTTTTTCTGACTAAGGCATCAGAGGGGTTTCCGGCACACACTTGCCGGCTAGCTCACGCTTGTGTTTTCAGGGAGTAAAGTGACGTCGTACGGAAGAGCGCAGACTTGATCAACAGGATTATACGAGAAGGTTTATTTATTTTCCGTACATCTTTGCTCTTCAAAGATGTATGCTTCTAAATTGTTATATTCCTCTTGATCAAGCTTTACCTCTTTAGGAACAATGGCGCACAATGAAGAATTACCACAGTCCGCCATCGACGGGCAAACACCAGATGGGGATGCAAGGCGTGAAGGACTACCTTCTATCCCTCCCATGGCGGACTTGGAGCCCCAACGACATAACTCCAGGAGGGATACCAGGGGGAGGCGGACTAACAGCCCCCATCACTCTCGTTCACAAAGTCCTGACAGGCAAAGGCGGAGGATTGATCCTCAAGTTCTGGAGGACCGCGTGAAGGAGCAAGACGAATTAATAAAGAAGATGGCGGCAGACATGGAGGCCTTGAAGCGCCAGATGAAGGGAAAAGGAGTGGCGACAGGAGAGGGGCCCAAAAACAAGACGTCCCCTCGCCGCTCAGAAGACCGTAGAAGATATTCCACACCATCACAAACTGAAAATAGAAGCCTCAGGACAGGCGATACTCAGTCTAGAACCTCCAGAACTCGTTACTCCAGGTCTGAGAGAACGAGATCATTGAGGTCTTACACAGAGGGAAGTACCTACCGACCCTCGCACTCGCACCAAACATCATCCAAGCGGACAAAGTTGCCAAGATCATCCGATTTGCGGATCATGCTGGAAGAAAAGGCACGATGGAAGGAGGACACCAGGGCCCGCCAGACCAATCATTCAACGCACCCATAGATCGGCACTCCACCATGCCGAGATAGTGGCGGAAGAAGTAGAAAACCTGCTGGAGGCAGAAGCAATCAGAGAGGTGCACTACCCAAGATGGATCTCCAACACAGTCGTAGTGCCAAAAAAGAATGGAAAATGGCGTGTCTGCGTCGACTACAAAACCGTCAACAAGGCGTGCCCAAAAGATAGCTTTCCTCTACCAAGGATAGATCAACTGGTGGACCTTACAGCAGGGCATAACCGACTTAGCTTTCTGGATGCATACA